ACACCCTATCGTCAAAATTGAAAGAGCTAGAGGAGCAAGATCAAAAAAACTCAAAACCCAGCAGAAGACAAGAAATAACTAAGATCAGAGCTGAACTGAAGGAGATTGAGACACGAAAAACCCTCCAAAAAATCAATAAATCCAAGAGCTGGTTTTTTGAAAAGATCAACAAAATTGACAGACCACTAGCCAGACTGATTAAAAAGAAAAGAGAGAACAACCAAATAGATGCAATAAAAAATGATAAAGGGGAAATCACCACAGATTCCACAAAAATTCAAACCATCATCAGAGAATATTACAAACAACTCTATGCACATAAACTAGTAAACCTGGAAGAAATGGATAAATTCCTGGACTCCTGTGTCCTCCCAAGCCTAAACCAGGAGGAAGCTGAAACTATGAATAGACCAATAACAAGGGCAGAAGTCGAGGCAGCAATTAAGAGCCTACCACACAAAAAAAGCCCAGGTCCAGACGGGTTCACAGCCGAATTCTACCAGACACACAAAGAGGAGCTGGTACCATTTCTTCTGAAACTATTCCAAATAATCCAAAAAGAAGGAATCCTACCCAAATCATTCTACGAGACCAATATCATCCTGATACCAAAACCCGGCAGAGACCCAACAAGAAAAGAAAACTTCAGGCCAATATCCATGATGAACATAGATGCAAAAATCTTCAATAAAATATTGGCAAGCCGATTGCAACAGCAAATCAAAAAACTTATTCATCATGATCAAGTAGGATTCATCCCGGGGATGCAAGGCTGGTTCAACATACACAAGTCTATCAATGTAATTCACCACATAAACAGAACCAAAAACAAAAACCACATGATTATCTCAATTGATGCAGAGAAGGCATTTGACAAAATTCAACAGCCCTTTATGCTAAAAACCCTCAATAAACTCGGTATCGATGGAATGTATCTCAAAGTAATAAAAGCTATTTATGACAAACCAACAGCCAATATCATACTGAATGGGCAAAAACTGGAAGCATTCCCTTTGAAATCCGGCACTAGACAAGGATGCCCTCTGTCACCACTCCTATTCAATATAGTACTGGAAGTTCTAGCCACAGCAATCAGGCAAGAAAAAGAAATAAAGGGTATTCAAATAGAAAAGGTGGAAGCCAAATTGTCTCTATTTGCAGACGACATGATAGTATACCTAGAAGACCCCGTCGCCTCAGCCCAAAAACTCCTGAAACTGATAAGCAACTTCAGCAAAGTCTCAGGATACAAAATCAATGTACAAAAATCACAAGCCTTCCTCTACACCAATAACAGACTTAAAGAGAGCCAAATCAAGAATGAACTGCCATTCACAATTGCTACAAAAAGAATAAAATACCTTGGAATACAACTCACAAGGAACGTAAGGGACCTCTTCAAGGAGAACTACAAACCACTGCTCAACGAAATCAGAGAGGACACAAACAGATGGAGAAACATTCCATGTTCATGGTTAGGAAGAATTAATATCGTGAAAATGGCTATACTGCCCAAAGTAATTTACAGAATCAACGCTATCCCCATCAAGCTACCATTGACTTTCTTCACAGAACTGGAAAAAACCACCTTGAACTTCATATGGAACCAAAAGAGAGCCCGCATAGCCAAGTCAATTCCAAGCAAAAAGAACACAGTGGGGGGCATCACACTACTGGATTTCAAACTATACTACAAGGCTACAGTAATCAAAACAGCATGGTACTGGTACCAAAACAGAGATATAGATCAATGGAACAGAACAGAGGCATCAGAGGCAACACAACATAGCTACAACCATACAATCTTTGATAAACCTGACAAAAACAAGCAATGGGGAAAGGACTCCCTGTTCAACAAATGGTGTTGGGAAAACTGGCTAGCCATGTGTAGAAAGCAGAAACTGGACCCCTTCCTGACACCTTACACCAAAATTAACTCCAGATGGATTAAAGACTTAAACATAAGACCCGGCACCATAAAAACCCTAGAAGGAAATCTAGGCAAAACCATCCAGGACATAGGAGTAGGCAAGGACTTCATGAACAAAACACCAAAAGCATTGGCAACAAAAGCCAAAATAGACAAATGGGACCTAATCAAACTCCACAGCTTCTGCACAGCAAAAGAAACAGTCTCTAGTGTGAATCGGCAACCAACAGAATGGGAAAAAATTTTTGCAGTTTACCCATCTGACAAAGGGCTGATATCCAGAATATACTAAGAACTCAAACAGATTTACAGGAAAAAAACAAACAAGCCCATTCAAAAGTGGTCAAAGGATATGAACAGACACTTTACGAAAGAAGACATATATGAGGCCAACAATCATATGAAAAAATGCTCATCGTCACCGGTCATCAGAGAGATGCAAATCAAAACCACATTGAGATACCATCTCACGCCAGTTAGAATGGCGATCATTAAAAAATCTGGAGACAACAGATGCTGGAGAGGATGTGGAGAAAAAGGAACACTTTTACACTGTTGGTGGGAGTGTAAATTAGTCCAACCATTGTGGAAGACGGTGTGGCGATTCCTCAAGGCCTTAGAAATAGAAATCCCATTTGACCCAGCAATCCCATTACTGGGTATATATCCAAAGGACTATAAATCGTTCTACTACAAGGACACATGCACACGAATGTTCATTGCAGCACTGTTTACAATAGCAAAGACCTGGAATCAACCCAAATGCCCATCAATGATAGACTGGATTGGGAAAATGTGGCACATATACACCATGGAATATTATGCAGCAATCAGAAATGATGAGTTCGTGTCGTTTATAGGGACATGGATGAATCTGGAGAACATCATTCTCAGCAAACTGACACAAGAACAGAAAATGAAACACCGCATATTCTCACTCATAGGCGGGTGATGAAAAATGAGAACACATGGACACAGAGAGGGGAGTACTAAACACTGGGGTCTATAGGGGGAAAAGGGGAGGGCTCGTGGGAGGGGGAGGTGGGGAGGGATTGCCAGGGGAGAAATACCAAATGTGGGTGAAGGGGAGAAAGCAAACAAAACACACTGCCCTGTGTGTACCTATGCAACTGTATTGCATGCTCTGCACATGTACCCCAAAACCTAAAATGCAATAAAAAAAAAAAAAAGGAAAAAAATAGTGTTAACTAGGATGTGGAAAAATTGAAATCCCAGTGTTTCACTGGTGGATGTAAACTAGTGCAGTTGCCACAAAAAACAGTATGGCAGTTCCTCAAAACACTAAACAGAATTACCATATGACCCAGCAATTTCACTCCTACATACATACCCAAACAAACCGAAAGCAAGGACTCAAACAGGTACTTGTATACCAATGTTCACAGCAGCATTATAATCAAAAGTCAAAAGACAGAAACACCGAAGTGTTCACTGAAGGATGAGGAAATAAATAAAATGTGGTATATGTAACAGAATATTATTCAGCCATAAGAAAGAATGAAATGTTGATATATGCTACGACATGAATAGACCTTGAACACATCATGTTAATAAAATAAGGCAAACACAGAAGGCCAAATATTGTATGATTCCACTTATATTAGGTTACCCAGAGTATGAAAACTCATAGAGACAGGAAATGGAATGGTAGTTACCATGAGTTGGAAGGTGGGAGGGATTTGAGGTTTGTTGTTTAATGGGTAAAGTTTCAGTTTTACAAGATGAGGAGTCCTGAAGACTGGCTGCACAACGTAAATGTACTTAAGATTACTGGGCTGTACACTTACAAATAATTAAGATAATAGCCAGGCACTGTGGCTCACGTCTGTAATCTCAGCACTTTGGGAAGCCAACGCGGGCAGATCACTTGAGACCAGGAGTTTGAGATCAGCCTGGCCAACATGGTGAAACTCCGTCTCTACCAAAAATACAAAAATTAACTGCGTGGTAATGTGGTAATATTATAGCTGCGCCTATAATCCCAGCTACTCGGGAGGCTGAGGCAGGAGAATCGCTTGAACCCAGGAGGCAGAAGATGCAGTGAGCCAAGATCGTGCTGTTGCACTACAGCCTGCGTGCAAGAATGAGACTCCATCTCAAAAAAAAAAAAAAAAAAAAGTAAATTTTATGTTATATGTATTTTACAAGTTAAAATTTAAATTAAAAATCTATTTAACATGTGGCTGGGCATGGTGGCTCACACCTGTAATCACAGTACTTTGGGAGGGCAAGGTAGGTGGATCACAAGGTCAGGAGTTCAAGGCCAGCCTGGCCACCATGGTGAAACCCTGTCTCAACTAAAGATACAAAAAATTAGCCAGGTGTGGTGGCACGTCCCTGTAATCCCAGCTACTTGGGAGGCTGAGGCAGGACAATCGCTTTAGCGTGGGAGGCGGAAGTTGCAGTGAGCCATGATTGCGCCACTACACTCCAGGCTGAGCGACAGGGCAAGACGCCATCTCAAAAAAAAAAAAAATATATATATATATACACACATATACACACACACAACATGTACAAAATAGAGATACAAAGAATAAAGCAAAAAAGCAAGCATTATTTTAATCAATACTGGACAAGGTCTAATTAACCTACATGCAAAACTCAAGTCATACTTTATACAACTATAACAACATTACTGAAAAAGGGCATAATGAATAGGTAAGAGTCAGAAATGACTACCAAGTTTTAAGCACAGGAGAAATGGGGTACTAACAAACAGAAAGCTGAAACAATGAAAACTATGTTTAAGCAAGGTAAAAGATCCATTTGCTTTTTTGTTTAATGACTGGACATTGGGCTAAAGAACTTTCCAAATGAGTAATCTAAATGCAAGTCATTAAATATTTAAATGCAAGAAAATGTATACAATTTTATGAAAGATACTTACAAACATATAGAAACATTATCAATAGTGATTTTTATACTTTTTTTATATTTTTAGAGAGTCAACAGTAATTGTTTATTTGAAAAGAACTGACATCATACAAACACAAAACACCCCTTATTCCTTTTTTCATAGTAAATCTAAGGAAAATGCATAACTTACGCTGCTAAGATCTGGAACAATATTGTTCAAATTTTCCATTTCTTTCTCAATTCTCCAAGTATCACAGGAAAATGGTAACATACCATCTGTGTGCCTTCTAGTACCTCCAGTACCTACAGAATTACCTGAAAAGTAAAGAAAAATCTTAAGAGAGCCACATCAAACCTGAATGATCTAACATAACTGCTTCTCGCTAGTCAAATTATTTTATGTAAACCTAATACTTAGCATTCCTATGACAAATTTAGCCATTTTCACAGAGAGAAAATAAGCAACAATAAGAGGCAATAATATACATTATAAACTGCTACCATACAGAAAGAATTCATATTTAATTATTTATATCTGGATACAATATCATCATTCATGATATTTAATCCAAAAAATACATACTGCAGTATTTCTAGTAACACTAATTTACCCAGCTATTATTAAAAGCTCTTTTGAAAACTTTAGACTGTCAAAAGACCTGATGGACTAGAAGGGTTAATGTATGTTAAATCATATCAGAGAAATGATTTTTTTTTTAAAAAAAGGTAAAGTCAAAACTAGAACTTAACAACAAAAGAATCGTATTTCTATACTTACTAGTCCCAGGTAGACAAATAATTTGACCTTCCTGAGACTCTTTGTAAGTTGTTTCAGAAGAGTGTGAGCCACGGGAAATCAGAGAGCTGTTATTTTCTGATTGAAACTTGCAGTTTAAGCTACTGTTTCCATTTGCCTGTTGAAAGAATATCTTAGCAGTATTACTCTTTTAAATTAAAATGAAATAATTTGAGGGAGAAATGTGGATTTACTGAAGGATGCCAGATAATATATATAGAAGGAATTAGAAAAATCGCCATTGTCACCATGAAAGTAATCAATGTTTCCAAGAGGCTTCAGCAAGGATACTGAAACCAGGTAGTGGAGAGTTGTCGGAGAGTAAAGTTGTTCAATGGGCTCTGATATCTCATCCCACAGATGACTTATTAATAACAAAGGGGAAAAGCTACCTTCACAAGGAGACATCTAGCTAACAACACCTTAGCCAAAATTATCAAACACGGTATCACCAGTCATGGGAGAGACAAACGTCTCCCAGTGTGAGGCAAAGAGAAGTACACCACACTGCCTACGTTTACTATCAATCCACTCATGAGAAAACTGTTTAATACATTTTTGCCAAAATGTTTAATCTAATCTAGTCAGGAAGGAAAAAAAGAAACAGATTATGACTGATTGAGAGTTCGTGTTTTAGTTTGTGCTTACTGAGCTTGGTGTTACAGCATTGAAAACCCCTGCAGTTGCCTCCCTCCTATCCTCTCTCCTCCCTCCTTCCTCCCTTTCTTCCTTTTACTTCTACAATAGGCTTATCTATACTTTTTTGATAGAGGTAACCATTTGCCACACCATTTTCTGAAAAGTCCGCTCTCTTCTCATTGATTTGCGAAGAAAAAAAAAAACAGATTATGGTGATTTTTCCCTCCTGACTAGATTAGGGTACACTCTACAAAACAAAGGGCCTAGATTTTACAAAATAAATCACCTCAGGAAAGAACTACTCCAAATTAAAAGGGAATAAAGAGACAGGAAAACCAAAGGCAAGGTTAACCTTTGATTAAATTGCAGATAAAATAGTAAGAATAAAGGATATTCTGGGACAACTCGGTAAATGCAAATATGGACTGCATAGTAATTTACATTATTATATCAAAGTTAGATAACAGAATTGTGATTATGTAGGAAAATGTCCTCATGTACAAAAGATAAATGCTGAAGTATTCAAGTGAAATGTCATACTCTCTAAGACTTTCAAATGATTCAGAGAAGAAAGTATTTTTTGGAGAGAAAAGGAAAATGCAAAAGTGGCAAACTTTAGCAATTGGTTAACTGCAGGAAGAGGGTGTAGATGTCCATTGTGTTATTCCTTTAATTTTCTGTAGGTGAGGGAAAGACAGCAAGAAGGAAGAAAGGGTAGGCATTTCTCATCAATTCATACATGGGAAACACAAGTCTAAAGAAAACCAAAAGCTTACATTTCATGTGAACATCCAATAAGACCAATAGTAATTTTCTAATGTTAAATCTGAAAAATCATCAAGACTGGAACATACCTCACTAAGATCACTTGTCGGTAACTTAAAGCCTTTTTCTGGAGGTTCTGGTCCTTCTAGGTCTTCATACATCATTCCTGGAATTGCCAGTTGCTCAAAATAAGCCTCCAAATGATCATCATAAAACATTTCATCATCAATATCATCATCTATTGATAAATTAAGGAAAAAAAACAGAACATGCCTTAAAGTAGTGACACTAAGCAATAATATCTAATTAAAAAGGCTATGACATAAATGAGTCTAAGATTGTTTTTTTATTTGACATAACTTATAACTTCAATCAACTATAAATCATTATGAAAATTTTAATACAAGGTAAATATTTAACCTCTATGAGAAACAGATCCGGACATGTTATCGAAAGTTAGGATACAATAAACGTGGCATCACAGATCAGTGAGAAAAGAGCAGACTCTTCAGAAAATGATGTGGCAAATGGTTACCTCTATCAAAAAAGTATAGATAAGACTGGAGCAGGAGAAGTAAAAGGAAGAAAGGGAGGAAGGAGGGAGGACAGAGAGAAGGAGGGAGACCACTGCAGGGGTTTTCAATGCTGTAACACCCAGCTCAGTAAGCACAAACTAAAACACAAACTCTCAATCAGTCGTGGTCTTCTAAGTTGGCAATGCCATTTTAAAGTTCAATTTTGCAATCAACCTTAAGAGTCTCAACAATACTCATCACCTTTGACCTAGCTATCTTGTCTCCAAGAATCTAGCATACTAAAGCAATCAAAGATTGGATACATTCAGGTCAATACCATAATTCGAAAATCCAAGAGTGAAAACTCCTTCGGCAGCAAAACCTGCTCTCCATGGATGTGATGCACACTCAGCTCAACAGACTGGCCTTCAAAGCCATGCATGACGTGGCCCCAGTCTACTTTTTTGGGCTTATTTACCAATGTGGCCTCCTGTAGGTCCTGTAAACTTGTCATGCAAAACCCTTGCCTGTTCCCCAAACACAACCCACCATGCCTCACAGCTGTGCCTCTGCTGACACTGTTCCTGATTCCTGACATGTCCCCTCCTCCTATATCTAAGGCCTGGCACAGGTTCCATCCTTTTTCTAGAATGCTTCAGTACCTGCCTCAATCAGAGTTAATTCCTCACTCACTATAATCCCAGGCACATTTGGGGTCCTGTTGGGTTTATGTAACCCAATCTGACATTTGGTTCTGCCTCTCCTCTCCACACCTAAGATGTCAGAGAGCAGAGGCCAAATATTTCATGGTTCCAACAGGGCACAGTGGCTCATGCCTGTAATCCCAGCACTTTGGGAGGTTGAGGTGGGCAGATCACTTTAAGTCAGGAGTTCTAGACCAGCCTGGCCAACATAGTGAAACCCCGTCTCTACCAAAAATACAATTAGCCAGATGTAATGGTGCATGCCCGTAATCCCAGCTACTGAGGAGGTTGGGGCAAGAGAATCACTTGAACCCAGGAGCAGAGGTTGCAGTGAGCCAAGATTCTGCCACTGCACTCCAGCCCAGGTGACAGAGCAAGATCCCATCTCAACCAAAAAAAAAAAAAAAAAAAAAAATTCATGGTTCCCCCAATTTCTAAACACAGTGCTGTATACTGAATGGCACCTCCAGGTGACTACTTTGTACCCTAACAATGTTAAACTGAGGGATGAGTATGACATCAGGGCAGATATACAGAAATAAATTCTTGAATTCCATCACTTTAATAGAAGTGGCCATTTGAGTGCTGGCAGGTAGGAAGAAAAGGGAAGGACCAAAGAAAACCCTAAAAATTTGGCATCATAATCACTGCAACAAAGAAGAATAGAGTGGCAAGGTGAAGACCAGGGAAATGCAGGTTACTCTGTCGTACCAGAAGAATCTTCCAAGCTTGTCGGTAGCATAAGTTTCTCATTTTCTAATAAACTAGTGTGGCTTAGGTCACTGTTTAGAGTCTTGTCTTCAAAATGTTTTCCAGTATCAAGCACAATAATCTATAAGAAACAAAATGACAAGTAAGAGAAGCACACACTCACTCAGGGCTCTGAAGAGTACAGTACAAGGCCACAAAAAGGACCAAGTATGTTCTCAACCTCCAATGTGTTTAGTATCTGTAAATCACAGCTTAGGCAATGAATGGCTAGTAATTGTACATGTTATTAATAACATTCCTTCCCCCCATGCCACCTCCCTCACCTGACCTACCAACAGGACATCCTTAAAACTTAAAACTGTGTGCACATGCTTAGAGAGGCTCATAATATATTAAGTACACAAATATATAACTGAACTTGAGCAACACAAGGCTTACAAAAAAGTGAAGATAACAGCAAACCTGAATCCAGCAGCCTGTATCTAAGGAACCATTACATTGGAATAATCAATTTCTCTGCTCCTCAACCAGGAAAGAACATGTAACCCTAAAGGGCATGCAGCCATTTACTAAGAACACTCAAGGTCCAGAATGAAAATGTAACATTTCCCTCTAAGTATGATTATATTTCATTATATATTACATATATATAAATAATACCAGTAAAGAAAGTATATTGCAAAATGCACACTAATTTTTAAGACAGAAACATGGACTCTCAATCCAATTTTACATTTAGAGAGGACAGTGTTGAGCTATTCTCAAAACTATCTAACCACTGGGGCACCAAGGACTACTATAATCTACTGTTATTTAAAATAGATGATCACTTAGAATATGGCAAATGTTAACAGTTGTGCAAAACAAGCTCTGCGCTTTGAAGAGTCTTTATAATAGAGAACTGGAAAAAAATCTATATAGGAAAGAACAGTATATAAAACGTCCCTGTCTTTTTGGTCATGTTGGCTACTGAGAATGCCATGTACTCTGCCAGGCCTGGTCCCTGGAAAATTTCTCCATTCTGATAAAGTGGCATAGTTCCACAGGTGAGACGAGACCTATATGCAGTAGCAACTCCCTTCTGTCTGTTTTCTAACACATTTATTTTCCCCTATTCTCCTTTCTTCCTCTTTCTAATCAAGCAACTCAGGTTTCTATACTTTTGTTGCTTTCCAGTTTTACTGTACCTTATATTATTATTAATTTCAAAAATTAATTTCAACTTCACTACAACTGAACTTGCTCTAAAAAGCATCTCTCACACTTGAAACTTACTAGGGGTCACATACAGGGTGAGTGCATTGGGGGGTCAACAAACATTTTGTGGGAGGGCCAGATAATAAACACTTCATGCTTTATGAGCTGTACAATCTGTCACAACTTCTCAACTTCACTGTTGTAGCACAAATAACAGCCATAAACAAAACATACACACAAATGGGCATGACGGTATTCCAATAAAACTTTGCAAAAACAGGCAGCAGACTGGATGTAGGCCTTAAGCTGTGGTTTGCCAATCGCTGGCACAGGGAAGTAACTTTTACTTTAGACCTTTTGCAATCATTCTATAAAAACAATCTTTACAACTCTCATAAAAGTAAAATAAACAAAAAGTATATCTCCTTTTTATAAGTTTTAACAGTATTTAGTTTATATTTTATAAATAAGTCTCATAAATTCATGACTGCGTGCCTGAAATCCAGGTTTGTGGTAATGTTGGGCATAAACTATCTTTTCAGCCTCTTTCCTTTGAAGAGCCCAACCTTTATACTTCACATGGCTCAGTGGGGTTGTCACTTGCATTCCTCTATCTGTGCATGTATACACACTCATATACAAGCACACACACGCACAAATAGACATCAGATCGAGGTTCATCCCAACCCACTCCTTTGCACAGTGGTTTGCACCGTGATTTGCATATGAACCAAGTGAGCTGATTAGAACAGTCTTTTTTCACTTCTTTTCTGATCACAAGTGTTAAGAGTATAGGGTTGTGTTGCCAACAAATGAAGACAGCTTGCCTATCATTTAACAAATTATTAAGTGACAACAAAGGATCAAGAACCATTCCATCATTCCAGACACTCAGGTACTCAGGATACAATGAAACACACACACACACACACACACACACACACACCCCCCTCATGAAGCTAACACTCTACATGAAGCCAGTAGAGTAAAGCAGAGCAAATAGATGGACTCAGCTCTGACAACATCACCAAGCCCAAGAATACAGTACCAGGCATCAGCACTACTCCTGAACCTTCTAATTACTTGAGAGAAACTCCCATTTTTACGGAAGCTAGATAAGTTAGAGTTCTACTATAAAAAAGTAGACGACATCTAACTAATATTAACACTTATATGTGTGAAATATAAACTTTTACTCCCCTATCATACTCCAGAAAATAACATATAAAAGATTACCTTGGGTTGCTTATTATTCATCCATGACTGTAAATGAAAATCAATAGGTGAGTCTGTATAAGAAAACAAAAACAAACTGAGAGACCATGTTATTTGATCAATTGAATAACCAACAATATCTAAAAATAGCGAGAAATATCTTTCTCTTGAAATAGAATAGCAGCACTTTTAAATGATGTATACGAATGCATCATAGGTCAGTTAAATGTTTTTAAATGTTAGGGTGGAGACTCATTAAAAAAATTGTACCAAAGAACTTGAATATGTCTTTAATCAAGACTTTACAGCTAACTTTTGCTTTGTAGGAGATGTGGAAAGAGAAACAAGAGAAATGGCACCTTGAGTAAATAAAGAGACAAACCTAAATAGTGGGACAAACTACAGTGTGACTGACCTAGAGTATTTCAATAAGGCACTGACAAAGGAGACGCAGCAAAGATACTGCAGCATAATGAAACCTCTCTCAGACCCCTATACACGCAAATCACCATGAACAGTTGTACCAGATGATAAAAGTTCGTTAGCTGTGTTAACAGCACTGTGGTTATGTAAGAAAATGTCCACACTTTTGAAGATGCATATTGAAATACGCACAAATGGCATATGAAATTTTAAAGTATCAGAAAAATAGTAGTAAAAAAGAGAGATGATGCAAGTATGACAAAATCTTATACCAATGGGATAGGTACATGGGAAGTTTTTTTAAATTGATACATACAATTCATGTAACATTAATTCATTCTTTTAAAGCATACAATTCAGCAGATTTTAGTATGCTCATAAGGTTGTACAGCCATCACCACTATTTTCGTTATTCCAAAGTGAAACACTATACCTATTAGCAATCACTCCCTATTCCCACTACCTTCCAGCCTCTGACAATCAATAATTTACTTTGTTATTTGCGATTCTGTATCTATAGATTTCACTATGGATAAACAGAACCATACATTTTGTGGCCTTCTGTGTCTTTCTTCTTTCACTTGGCATAATGTTTTCAAGGCTCACCTGTATTAAAGCACGTATCAGTATTTTGTTCCTTTTTGTGGACGAGTAATACTCCACTCATGTGACCATACTACATTTTCTTTGTCCATTCATCAGTTGATTAATATTTGAGTTGTTTCCACTTTTTGGCTGTTGTGAGTAATGCCGCTATGAACATTCATGAGCAAGTTTTTGTTTGAGGTCAGGTGCAGTGGCTCAAGCCTACAATCCCAGCACTTTGGGAGGCTTGAGGCAGGTGGATCACTTGAGGTCAGGAGTTCAAGACCAGGCTAGCCAAAATGGCTAAACCCAATCTCTACTAAATATACAAAAATTAGCTGGGTGTAGTGGTGCATGCCTGTAATCCCAGCTACTTGGGAGGCTGAGGCAGGAGAATCGCTTGATCTCAGGAGACGGAGGTTGCACTGAGCTGAGATCATGCCACGCACTCCAGCCTGGGAGACAAAGCAAGACTGTCTCAAAAAAAAAAAAAAAAAAAGTTTTTGTGTAGACATATGGTTTCCTTTCTCTTGGGTATATACCTAGGGGTGCAAATGCTGAGTCACATGGTAACACAGTGTTTAATGTTTTGAGGAACTGTCAAACTGCTTTCCAAAGTGGCTGTACCACTTCACATTTCTACCAATAAGGTATGAGGGTTTCAGTACCTCCATATCCTCACCAAAATGTTATTTTCCATTTTTTTAATTATAGTTAGCCAAGTGGGTGTAAAGCAGTATCTCACTATCGTTTTGTATTTTGTTTGTTTGTTTCTTTTTTCTGTTTTTTGAGAGACAGTCTTGCTCCGTCACCCAGGCTAGAACGCAGTGCACGATTTTGGCTCACTGCAACCTCCACCTCCTGGGTTCAAGCAATTCTCTAGCCTCAGCCTCCTGAGTAGCTGGGACTACAGGTGCCCACCATCACACTCGGCTAATTTTTGTATTTTTGTAGAGGTGGGTTTTCACCATGTTGGCCAGGCTGGTCTCGAACTCCAGAACGGTCTCGAACTCCAGACCTCAAATGAACTCCAGACCTCAAAGGGGAGTCCCTTTGGCTTCCCAAAGTGCTGGGGTTACAGGCATGAGCCATTGCACCCGGCCTCACTATGGTTTTGAATTACATTTCCTGGATGTCTAATGATATTAAGTACATTTTCATGTGTTTACTGGCCATTTGCACAACTTCTATAGAGAAATGTCTATTCAAGTCCTTTGCCATTTGTCTGTTTAATGTTGAGTTATAAGAGTTCTTTATATATTTTGAATACTAGTCCCTTTCCACATATATGATTTGTACATATTTTCTCCCATTTTTTTTTTTTTTGGTTACTCTTTTCCCTTTCTTGATAGTGTCTTTTGAAGCATAAAATTTTTCAATTCTGAAGTCCAATTCATCTATTTTTTTCTTTTATTGCTTGTTTGAGTGATAATATCTTCTTTCATATATGTAACATTTTTCATCAAGGGAAATACAAACATTCCCTTAAAATTTTTCTAACATATAATGTGTACTCATTCGTCAATCTTACAACATATAATCAGGCAAGGTCTTTTGAGTACTCAATTACAGTTTGGAGTTACAAAATACCAGTGCTATATAGGCACACAGAATGTAGTTCTCAATTTCCAGTTTTGGTTTCTTCGTTGAAAGAAAATGAATGTAGAGTACTTAAGATAAATCAACAGCAGAAGCTTATAATTTTTTTAAACAACTTTCCCCATATTTTTATTTGTTTATTTTTCAGACAGGGTCTAGGTCAAGGTGATCACCTTGACCACCTGGGCTTAAGCAATCCCACATCAGCCCCAAGTAGCTAGGACTTAAGGTACACAGCACTACCGATTTTTCTAGAGAGAGAGTTTCACTTGTTGCCCAGGCTTGAACTACTGGCCTCAAGCCATCCACCCACCTCAGCCTCCCAAAGGGCTGGAATTGCAGGCATGAGCCACTGTGCCTGACCCACTATATTTTTGTAGTTTCTTCTCCACATCTAATTTCAGAGCACTTTTTCTTTTTGAGACAGAGTCTCACATTGTCACCCAGGCTGGAGTACACTGACACAATCCTGGCTCACTGCAACTTCTGCCTTTCGGGTTCAAGTGATTCTCCTGTCTCAGCCTCCTGAGTAGCTGGAATTACAGGCAGCGGCCACCATGCCTGGTTAATTTTTGTATTTTTAGGAGAGACAGGTTTTTACCAGGTTGGCCAGGTTGGTCTTGAACTTCTGATCTCAAGTGATCCTCCTGCCTCGTCCTCCCAAAGTGCTGGGATTACAGGCATGAGGCACCACACCTGGCCCAAGAGCAATTTTTCAAATGACTTACCCTTGAGTATTTCTAATACATTCAACCTCATTTTCTTAGAAACAATAATTTATTTTACAACTTAAAATTCACCTGTTTTATAAAAATAACCTTAGGAACAAAATTGACTCTCGATAAGAATATAAATTAATTTGCGGGAGAAAAGTGGAAGATGCACTAAAAGTAGTCTTGTTTTGAATGTAAAGTATGCTGTGATCATCTGACAGCATGGTTTCCAAAGCAAAAATAATTTCGGCTTAAATCAGTTAACAAGGTTAAGAGGAGACCTTTTCCTATAAAAGTACTGTAAATATGACATTAATAGGTTCAATGCAAACCAAAGCATTTTCAGTTTACCGTATGATAGTACAAGATGAATACATCCAAGCCAGGAGTGACGATGCATGCATCAAATTCCAGCTACACAAGAGGCTGAGGCAAAAGAACAGCTTGAGCCCAGGAGTTCATGACCAGCCTGGGCGACATAGCTAGAACCCAACTAAAAATTAAGAGGGGAAACAAAAAGGCCAAGCACAGTGGCTCATGCCCATAATCCCAGCATTCTGGTAGGCCAAGGCAGAGCAGATGACCTGAGCCCAGGAGTTCAAGCCCACCTTGGGCAACATGGCAAAATCCCATCTCTACTAAAAACACAAAAAATTAGCCTGGTGTGGTGGTGTGTGCCTGTAGACCTAGCTGCTCAGGAGGCTGAGATGGGAAGATAGGTTGAACAGCCCTGGAAGTTGAGGCTGCAGTGAGTTGTGATCACACCACTGGACTCCAGCCTTGGCAACAGGAGTAGACCCTGTCTCAAAAAAAACAAAAAAAAACAAAATCCAAAATGAGGAAATGAAAAAGGAAATTACAACATATGCATTCAGAAATAATTTCAAATAATTCAGTACCTTGTGCTTGTTCCAATGGTGATGCTCTGTCAAAGAGGTCTTGGTCCTGCAAAGATTCTGTAGCTCCGCCTGGCTCCTCTTCTGGTCCTACTGTCTCCATTTGGAAAGCTGACTGTTTCCTGAAAGCATTTGACAAATGTTGACTTTCCACATAGCTCTTTTTCCTATAGAGATAGAACTTTTTTATTAGAAAATAGAAAAATGTTAAAATGCTACCTTGAGTAAATCTACAAAATATCTATTAATCAGTTACGTATTTCACCTCTCAAAAAGAAAAAATGGAAGCAATAAAAAAAATCAGAGTCTAGCCAGAAACTACAACTGCTAACACTACATGGTATTCTGGGGACTGAATAAACCTTTCGGGTCCAGTGATACACAGTATACCAAAATCAAAGATAATGACATACTGCTACTCTTCCTCTCAAGCAATAAAAAGTGTTTTTTCTTCTTTCCAAAATATGTATCCTTGAAACCACCAGTCTACAGGACTCAGCTTTCTAAAATCTATACAGACTTAAAGGATACTGGCATATCTACCAAAATAGCCAAATCTCTAAATTGATAAAGGTTTCGATTGTTTTTATCTTTATCCCTAGTCTTAGTCCTTGTCCTTATCTTTCTATCTACCTCTGCTGTTTTCTGTGTGGATTTAAGTATTCTTCTTACAGGCAATTTCCCTCCTACCCTACTGCAAAAGCTCTTGGGTCTAGAGCAGATCACCACAGAAAGAGGAGGGGTGGGAATGGAACTTCAGGAAAAAGCCTCTTAATGCAACAAATTCATTACATGACAAACTGATACAGCCAGACTCAAATCTGGCCAGGATTAATTTTTTTTTTTTTTTTTTTTTTTTTTGAGATGGAGTCTCACTCTGTCACCAGGCTGGAGTGCAGTGGCAAGATCTTGGCTCAATGCAACCTCCACCTCCCAAGTTCAAGCGATTCTCCTGCCACAGCCTCCTAAGTAGCTGGGATTATAGGCGCGCGCCACAATGCCCAGCTAATTTTTTTTATTTTCAGTAGAGATAGGGTTTCACCATCTTGGCCAGGCTGCTCTTGAACTCCTGACCTCATGATCCACACGCCTCAGTCTCCCTAAGTGCTAGGATTACAGGCGTGAACCACCATACCCAGTCAAGGATAGATTTTTTTAAAAAGTTCTTCCATATTTCTCAAATCCCAATCTTTCATACCTGAGGCAACTCTCCAACCCTAACTACAATTAATTTCCTAGTTTCTCCATCTCTTTACTGAGGCTGGAGTACATAAAAAGGCACTAGCTTAAGCCAAGGGAAAATTTCACCAAGTACACAAAAGGAAAGGCATAGGTAGAAAGACTATACATAGTTACAAAGTTAAGGGATAGCAAGGACAGAAAGGAAAGAGGTGGGGGAGCAAGATGGTGATAGTAAATAAATAAGTCAGGACGGTTAGGTCAATTTCCATATTTTAAAGCCTCCCCTAAGAAAAGTATATAGTATGATCACAAGAACTTTAGAATGACAGGGACAGTTGAGAGCAAGGCACTCTACATTCACCACCATCCCTCTAAAAAGGCTACTTCCTCAAAACTACAGCTATACATATTTTTATTAGCTCACAAAAACTTGCAAACTAAGTCCTAAGTTTCAAGTTAAAGAGGCAAGAGCAACTTCCAACAGTCCAATAAAATGACAGTAAGGAAATCTATAAAAGTAAAGAAATCTGGGTAAGAACTACCAGTCCTAACCCATGCTTACCCCAGATTCTGGAATCTGAAAAGCAGATGGGGTGTGCAAGGGGAAAGAAAGCCACAATCCAAGAACAGAAGGGCCCGGAAGCAGAAAAAGAAACAAATCTGTCAGGAAGAACCACGAAAATGTTCCATGACTACAGTCAGAAAGAGGGCAGGAGAGAGTCGGAGAGGGCAGGAGATGGGGAGACTGAAAGCCTAGCAGGCAGCATGACAGGAGTACACCCTTCTTCCTCACCCCAAAGACAACAGTCACACACACACAACAGTGAACACCTGCCAAGGGGGAGGGAAGGGCTTGCCTGCAGACAAGGTACAGAAAATGCCTGTGGAGTATGAAGCAACGGCAATAACAGCGGCCCAGAACAAAGCGTTAAACATCTGGCATAAAATTTAAGACTCCAACCTGCGCACTCAAAAGTAAACTCGGCCAGGAACAACGTCCCTCTTGTGTGGAAGCCTAAGAGAAATGAGAGCGACATACACAAGGGTATGTAGCTAAGGGTGCCTATACTAGGTGGCCTAGAAGACAGCCACAAATCAGACACAAGAAAAAAAGGAGCGGCTCAAGAGACAAAAATAAAAATGAACAAAGCATACAAACAGCCCTGGAGAAAAGGAACAGTTTACAGAACTTTCGAAATTTCTAATTAAAATCTTCAGAAATATCCATGTAGCTGTTACAGTCAACTCTCAGTATTCATGAGGGACTGGTTTCAGGACCCCCACATCTACCAAAATATGCAATATTCAAGTCCCACAGTCAGCACTGACTACACTCAGGTTTCATATCCACAAATGTTGAATTTTCTATCCACGTTTGGTTGAAAAAAATCTGCCTATAAGTGGACCCATACAGTTCAAACTCAGGTTGTTCAAGGGTCAAGTGTACATCCACAAAAAAGGCCCATTTAAAAAAAGTAAAAAAAAAAAAAAAAAAAAAAGAGTTATTATTTAAATGATGATTGTCAAATGATTTAATGAGCAGGGAAAAAACTTATCTAGAACAATGTCTTTTTGCACTAACCAGAAATAAAAGGAAAAAAATAAAACAACCCAGACAGGCCGGGCCTGGTGGCTCACACCTGTAATCCCAGCACTTTGGGAGGCCAAGGCAGGCGGATCACGAAGTCAAGAGATCAAGACCATTCTGGCCAACATGGTGAAACCCTGCCTCTACTAAAAATATTTAAAAATTAGCTGCGCGTGATAGCACGCGCCTGTAGTCCCAGCTACTCAGGAGGTTGAGGCAGGAGAACTGCTTGAACCCGGGAGGCAGAGGTTGCGGTGAGCCGAGGTCACGCCACTGCACTCCAACCTGGCGCCTGGTGATGGAGTGAGATTCTGTCTCAAAAAAAAAACAAAAAAAACAACCCAGACAATCCAAAATAGTAGTTCTGGAAAGACAAAAGGAAAAAATAGAAAAAAAAATGCCAAGGAAATCATAATTATCTAGAACTAATCTCCAGATCAATGCCAATTGATTTAGTAAATCAAGGAAAATAGCCCCACCCACATGGGACTCAAAGGGGATTCTAAAAGTTCTAGACAGAAAATATAGTTCAGATTAAAAAAAAAAGAGCATCAAAATTACATCAGACTTCACATACAATGTTGCAGTATCTTCAAAATTGTGTGAAAATTTATTTTCATCCTAAAATTCTGTACTCAGCTCAAGTATTAATTAATTCCAAGATCAAAATAAAGACATTTTGAAACGCGAATTCCCTCCTCCCCAAGAAGGGGTCAAAGAAGCCATCCCTCACCAAGAGACTGAGGCCATGCCTTTCTTTTTTTTTAAAGAAAAAAAAAAAATAAGTAAAGGAGAGGAAGAAAGAGGAAGAGAAAGAGGGAGAGTAAATGGAAATATTGCTTTATTTTGAAAAAAATTGGGTATTAATAATGGCCAATCAATGTTTCATTTCAACTTATGGGTAGGTGTGATGTGGTATTGACAAGAATGTATATTTTGTGTATTTGAAGTGGAGAGCTCTATAAATATTTATTAAGTTTACTTGTTCCGGATCTGAGTTCGAGTTCTTGATATCCTTATTAATTTTCTGTCTCATTGAATCTAAGCCTCGTATCTGGGTGTTAGGATCATTAGCTCTTGTTGTTGCATTGATCCTTTTACCACTATATCTTTGTTGCTTTAAAATCTATTTTATCCGATACGAGAATTACAACTCCTGCTTTTTATTTATTTATTATTTATTTTTGCTCTCCATTTGGTTGGTAAATCTTTCTCCATCCCTTTGTTTTGAGTCTTTGTGTATCCTTGCATGTGAAACAGGTCTGGATGTAACATGCCATTGGGTTTTGGCTGTGTCTTTTGATTGGGGGATTTAGTCAATTTATATTTAGGGTTACTGCCATTTGATGTTGACCGGCTGTTTTATCCATTCGTTGGTGTAAATTCTTCTTTATGTTGGTGCTCTTTACTTTTTGGTGTATTTTTAGAAAGGCTAATACTGGTTGTTTCTTTCTGTGTGTAATGCTTCTTTCAGAAGCTCTTGTAAAGCAGGCCTGGTGGTAATAAAATCTCTGAGTACTTGCTTGTTCATAAAAGATTTTATTTTTCCTTCAGTTGTGAAGCTTAGTTTGGCTGGATATGAAATTCTGGGCTGAAGGTTCTGTTCTTTGAGGATGTTGAATATTGGCCCCTACTCTCTTCTGGCTTGTAGAGTTTCTGCTGAGAGATCTGCTGTAAGTCTGATAGGCTTCCCTTTGTGGGTAACCTGACCTCTCTCTCTGGCTGCCCTTAGTATTTTCTCCTTCGTTTCAACCCTGGTGAATCTAACGATTATGTGCCTTGGGGTTGCTCTTTTTGAGGAATATCTTTGTGGTGTTTTCTGTATTACCTGGGGTTGAATGTTGACCTGCTTTGCTAGTTTAGGAAAATTTTCCTGAATAATATCCTGAAGGGTATTTTCCAGCTTGGATTCATTCTCTCCCTCGCATTCAGGTACACCTATCAAACATAAATTTGGTCTTTTCACATAGTCCCACATTTCCTGGAGACTTTGCTCATTCCTTTTTATCCTTTTTTCTCTAATCTTTTCTTCGCGTTTTATGTCATTAAGTTGGACTTTGACCTCTGATATCCCTTCTTCTGCTTGAACAATTCGAGTGTTTAAACCTGTGCATACTTCTCGGAGTTCCTGTATTGTATTCTTCAGTTCCATTAATTCACTCATACTCCTCTCTAAGTTGTCTATTCTCAATAGGATTTCATCAAACTTTTTTTCAAAGTTCCTAGTTTCTTTACGTTGGGCTACAACATGTTCTTTTAACTCACCGAAGTTTGTTATTATCCATTCCTTGAAGAGTGATTCTGTCATCAGGAGGCGCTAGTTCTCCATCAAGCCTTGTTCCACTGTTGATGTGGAACTGTGATCATCTTTAGAGGGAGAGGCGTTCTGACTTTGAGTATTCTCAGCTTTTTTATGCTGGTTTCTTCCCGTCATTGTAAATTTATCCTCCTGTCGTCTTTGAAATTACCAACTTTCAGATTAAGTCTCTTGAGTGAACGTCCAGGTTGTTAGTTCCCAGGGCCAGAGCAGCGGCGTTAAAACTGATGGCGCTTTTCTGCCCAGGATTCTCCTGTCTGGCTTCCTTCTTGTGTCCGTAGTAGGCGACTCTGCCTTCCCGGGGCTCCAAACCTCGGTCAGAAGGGGAACCGGTCCCGTTTACTCTGCGCCGCGCCGAGGTGCCGTCACAGCTGCCGCGCCGGGCTCTGGTGTCCTGTTGGGGACCTGTGCGGGTCCTCCGAACCTGTTTACTCTGCTCAGAGAGCTGCCGCGCCGAGGTGCCAGAGGAACCGCTGCGCCGGCCACGAGTCGCGCTGGCTGCCCATGTGTTTCCTCCACTGGGGGATCTTCTGTTCCGTGAGCGACCAGAATTTATCTGAAAGTGTGGCGTCCTCTAGTTCTCTGCGCTTTCCCTGAGAGCTGCAATCCCGGGATGTTAGCGATCGGCCATCTTGGATCGTTATGGCCATGCCTTTCTTTCCAGGCTGCTGACTCTCCAGTACAGTGTCCAAGGAAGCCCTCGTACTCAGACCAACAACCCAGAGCTTCAGACGGTTCAAAAGTCAAGGGCTAGCTCTAAGCACTTACCTCCCCCCAGGAACTGAGTCTAAGACTCCACCTCACCAGGCCTCCTATCTTCCAACAACAAGGGCCAACAAAACCAGTTTCCAGAGCTCCTGGCCTCAGCAAAAGTCAAGAGTATACCCTCAAGATGCCCTCCCATCCACAACATTTGCGGTTTCTTCTGATTCAGCGCCTACATCCAGCCCAGGATGCCTCACTGCTGGCACTCCAAGTCCCTTAAGTCTGCACAGATCTTCTACTACCCAACAAATAAAACCCTTCTACTGTGCCTTCTAGAATTTACAGAGCTGAGTTGACAAGATCTGCCATTCCTGAACCCCTTCTCTGAACATTCCTGTCACCTCACTGCTTTAATGAAAGCCTGAATACCCTGTGAGGACATTGCTACCCCCAAGCTCTGAAAAATGGGGACCCTCATCTCTTCAACAGCCGTAGCATCATCACCTGGTGTGGAGATGGAATATACAGGCCCTCCTTGCCCTGAGTGCCACTTCCAGGTCACTCTCCCTAGAGCCTCACAGCTTTGAATCACCTACTACCCCTCTGTCTCTAGTACCGCAACTATATGATGCTGACCCCACCCCCACCTCCAACCCATCTGTACCACCACATCGCTCTCCCTCTCCCTGACCATACCCTCTCTCCTCCTCCTTAACCTAAAGCACATGGCCAATCTTACATCCTCAGCAACCTTGTCCCTCGCTGCCTACAACCCTGGTTAAATTCAATTCTCTGCCTCCTTTTTAGCTGCACTCCTATAGCTCAATGTGGCCGAAGAAATAATAGTCCCACACTAAATTCATACCTATAGCCCTCAGGTTGGGCCTTGATGTTATCCCGAAATCCTAACATTTCAACCCTGTTCATTTTTCTGCGCTCCATGTGGTAATTTTACATCTTTTTCTTTAAACCACCAACTCTTCTTCCTCTTCCTCTACTCTCACTCTGACTTGATAGCTGTGCTTCCTACTTCATTAACCCTACTTTCAGCCTCAAGCACTGAAAGGTAACTTCCACAGATTCTTCCCACTACATGCACCCACACAGGCAGTTCTCCCACCTGATCCTGCAGAGGAACTGCCCGCAGTCCTACCCAGCTAAAGCTACTCCCTGCACTGCAAGTTGTGGCCCACTCTCTTACTGACACAGACATTACTGCAGCAATTCTCTTCCCTTTCTATACCATCAAGTTTTACCTTTCCAGATTATTCCTATTATCACGTAAACATGCAGCAACTTCTCCCACCACAAAAAAAAGTGAAACCTCTCTTCACCCACTATAACCATCAGCTATCACAGCCTCATTTCTCTGCTCCCTTTCGCAACAAAACTCCACAAGCTTTCTACTCCCTGTAACAGTTAACTCTCGTTCTCTCTGAAACTCACTCCAAGTAGGCTATGGTGCCTTGCCCTACTTCTACCAAACTACTTATCAGGTTTACCAAGGACCTAATCTATGCTAATTCCAAGAGTCAGTTCTTTGCCCTCATTTTATTTGACATAGTTGGGTAATTCTTCTTTTATACATGCTCCTGGCATGGCTTCCAGGAGGCACTCTTTTCCTCCTGCCTCTGATCACTAATTCTTAATCTCGCTGTTGATTCCTCCTGTCCCCAGCTTCTCACTGTGGAGCATCCTGAGGACACGGCCTGGTGCTTTCTTCCATTTGCCTCACTACTGGACCGTTGAGACTCAGTGCTCGTGCTGTGTCCACTCTCGCCTCATATAGTCTCTTCTCCACGTAAAAGTCATAGTGGGCCTTTTTTTTGAGACAGGGTTCTCACTCTGTCACCCAGGCTAGAGTGCAGTGGTGCAATTATGGTTCCCTTCAGCCTCAATCTCCTGGGCTCAAGTGATCCTCAGAGTGGGCCTTTTAAAACACAATTCAGATGGAGCCCTCAAGTTTCTTCCCATATCTCTCAGAGACAGAGTCAAGGTCCTGCTCACCACCTCCCCAGCCTCCCTGCCACTCTGTGATCACAGGGACTACACTCCTGCCTTAATGTCTTCAGGCTGGCTGCACCCTTGGCCTGATGTCCACTTCCCCCTGCAGTCCACATAGTTATTAACTCCCTCCTGTCAAGTCTTGACTCGTATCTTTTTTCTTGAGACAGAGTCACTCTGTCGCCCAGGCTGGAATGCAGTGGCGTGATCTTGGTTCACTACAACCTCCACTTGCCAGGTTCAAGCAATTATCCTGCCTCAGCCTCCCAAGTAGCTGGGATTACAGGCATGTGCCACTACAGCTAGCTAATTTTTGTGTTTTTGGTAGAGATGGGATTCCACCATGTTGGCCAGGCTGGTCTCAAACTCCTGACCTCAGGTGATCCACCCGCCTCAGCATCCCAAAGTGCTGGGATTACAGGCGTGAGCCATTGTGCCCTTGGCTCATATCTTATGTCTACAATGAGACCCATACTGACCACTGCCTTCAGCCTTCCTAATAACCCTCCTTATCATATTTTATTTTTTTCTATCACTTTTCTCATGTAATATACTATAAAATTAGCATATTTTAGTGTCTTGTTTAACATCTGTTTTAGTCACTGGAATTTCCTAACCACCTGGAGAAGTGGCTGGCACAGAGTAGGCATGGAGTCAAAAACACACAGAGAAGGACTGAATACACAGGGTTAACATCTTTAATATAAAGAAAGCACCTACATATAAAGGCTGTCAAGAGGCAATTCACAACATAAATATAAGTAATGAATAGACATTAAAGTACGTTCAATACCATAAATATTCAAATAAAAATTTAAACACAGAAAACAAGATTTTCTGTAATACCACTATTACCATCTTGGTTTTACAGACTTCGAGACTTTCTTCTATGCATATATACATGTGTATTATGTAAATTATTTTCACCTCTAAAAATCAAAGATTAAAAATAGCACCATCAAATGTTGGGCAGGATTGAGAGAAGTCAGCATTCCCATAATATATCTACTAGAAGAATAAACGGATACAAGTTCTCTAAAGAGCAATGTGTTAATTACAAATTGATGGTCTTTAAAATAAAGTATTTTTAACTCAGCAATTTAAATCCTAGAAATCTTAATAATATCCTAGTTATGAAAAATGTATATATAAATGTACACATAGGGAAGTTCATTACCTTTGTACAGCAAAACTGCAATAATCCAAATGGCCAATACAGACCTGAGTATACAGTCATTAACACTATTGTAATTGAAAGCTGAACATAATACTGTATCTTAATTTTTTTAATATAATAAACAGAATAAGAGTGTAATCTTATTTCGTAAAAAAAAAATTATTTTCATTTTTCTTTTTCTATAGCCTCATATTAGAAGTGAAAAAAGATTTAAAGGAATAAACGCAAATAGAAAATAGTCTGAAAGACTACAGATAAAAATGTACTCAATGGCTGTTCTCTAGTTAGTGGGATTACAGGCCTTTATTGTCTTCCAGATAATTTTCTACATTCTCTATTTTTTTCAATAGCACATACCATTTTTAGAATTAAAAAAAATGTTTTGAAAGACTAAAAATGTGATTGAAGTGCATAAAGAAAACTCTTTGATGGGCGCAGTGGCTCATGCCTGTAACTCTAATAATCCCAGTACTTTGGGAGGCCATAGCGGGCAGTTCACTTGTGTTTGAGACCAGCCTGGCCAACACGGTGAAACCCCAGCTCTACAAAAAATACCAAAAAAATTAGGTGGGCATGATGGCACATGCCTGTAATTCCAGCTAATCAGGAGGCTGAGGCAGGAGAATCCCTCGAACCAGGGACATAGAGGTTGCAGTGAGCCAAGATCATGCCATTGCATAATAGCTTGGGCAATGGAGTGAGACTCTGCCTCAAAAAAAAAAAAAGAAAACTATTAAAGACTCTTAGAAGTAATCAGAATTAATTACAGACACAATCACATAGTCATTTTCCACAAGACTCCATAAGACCCACTTTTAACACAGTACGAGCAAATGAAGTTATGAACTTACTCATCATCCTGGAAGCTAAGCTGTACCCTCTCTATTGGTTCAATGTCACTCTGGTTTCTGGGAGATGACCCAGATGGAACTGAAAATCTCCCTTCTACTAAGTAAGATGCCTGGATATCAGGATATCTACAAAAAAAAATTGTTTTAATTGTTAAGAATTAAATTATACATATTTAAATGCCATCATGACATAGGGCTGCATGACAGTAAAACCAACCACCAGGAGTAAAAACAAATAGGGCCTTTGTATTCCACACCATCGTCCTCTGCAGAGCATGGAAACCTGCGGCTCAGCAATAGGGAGTCTTTCTGTATTCAACAATACAGTCAAAATTCATAAAGCTATAAGAGCTGAGAGCGTTAATACAATCACTTCATCCCAAAGGTCAAGACAATGCTCCTCACTAAATGTTTAGGTTGAGAGAAGACAGGAACGTGGCCAATTTAAGAACAGGCAAACTTTATACATTATTCAAGACCCTACATGTAATGGATGTGTACGCTATACACAATCCATTTGAAGATACAAAGCAAGGTGTATTTAACCAAACAACAATCTGCTAACAAAATGGACATTTTAAAAGTAAAAAAAAAAGAAAACACTGGTTAATTATTTTTTCTTTTTTTTGAGACAGTCTCCCTCTGTCGTCCAGGCTGGAGTGCACTGGCCCAATCTCAGCTCACTACAACCTCCACCTTCCAGGTTCAAGCAATTCTCCCACCTCAGCCTCCTGAGTAGCTGAGATTACAGGCATGCACCATCACACCTGGCTAATGTTTGTATTTTTAGTAAAGACAAGATTTCACCATGTTGGCCAAGCTGGTTTCGAACTCCTGACCTCAAGTGATCTGCCCACCTTGGCCTCCCACAGTGCTGGGATTACAGGCTTGAGCCACCATGCCCGGCCCGGCTGAGTTTCTAAGAAAGAGAAACTTGACTTCAGGAGCTAAAGTTACTAGAATGGCAAGAGCCAAGTTGCTTCAGAAACCTAGGAGAGACTAAAGGTTGAAAGAGAGAGATAGCCACACAAGTCCAGTAAAGAATAAACCTGGATGAAATGAATCAAAAAGTGAGGCTATGTCATACTTCTAAATAGACTAAATGACCCAAAACTCTATTCACAGATGACTGGATTTGGAACAGACACCTAACCTAAAATGGACCAGAAATTTGTGAGATTTTAAGAGACAGTTCATTAGTCTCAATGCGTAGCTAGAAATGTAATTCATAGATGTCTTCTGAGAATTTGTGTTGCCATATTCTATAACATGATCAGAAAAGCAAATAAAATCAGTGTATTGAAAGAGGGAAGAGGCCAGGTATAGTAGCTCACACATGTAATCCCAACACTTTGAGAAGCTGAGGTGGGAGGATCACTTGAGCCCCAAGAGTTCAAGAACAGCCTAGCCAACATGGCAAGACCCTATCTTTACAAAAAAAAAATTTTTAATTAGCAAAAAAAAAAGGACAAGAGAAAAGAATGAAAGAGTTATACAGAAGAGACATAGAGTGGAATGACAAAAACCTAAGACCTGATAGCTTCCCAAATCCCAATTCCTGTCTCTTCTTGCAGCGAAGCTCTGCATTTCCTGCCCTTGATGCCAAGAGATATTCCTTTAACCTTATGATTAATTTTCCTTTGGACTTCACTAACACAACTTGTTTTACATTACATTTACATTACATTAATATGACTGAACTAATACAAATCCAAAAACACTATAGACAAAAAAAGTAATAGACCAAAATAGATAACTGGTGCTCAAATCCCAAACCCACCCAAACCTACCCACTGAAAAGGCAATGCAATAGGGAAAGAGACAGTAAATTCTGTCTTTTCTATATTCATTTCACAATTTGGCCATCTCCCTCCCTCATAAAACAAAAAGTTCAAGCTTGACTGAGAAATGTTACATAAATATCAGTATGCTGTAGGTTTTATGGACCTGGAAAAAAATCCGCTCAAACAAATCTTACCTGTTTTCAGTGCTGGATCTATTCCTAGCAAGTGTGGAAACAGCAACAGGCAAGCCAAGATTTGAAGAAAGAGTGACATTTTCCAAAATCCCACTGTTACCAAATAACGAATTGGTTAGAAAGCTTGGAAATGATTCTTCTGCTATCCCTCGAAAATCTTCCATCTCACTGCAATAACAAAGTATTTCTATAGGTCACATATCACTACAGAATGTTTTTAAATGATTTAAGAGTATTGTCTTAGAAAACTAACAAATCTTAGGAAAAAAAATCCCTGTTTTTAGCATCAGTAAGAAGGGGAAACAGGCAAATAGTCTGAGGTAAAATCTCAGAATACTTTGCTACTTTATAGCTGAGAACAGAAACCTTAAACATTAAACTTACCTTTTAAAATTAACATTAATAACGCAATACACATCTTAATTTACTCTTTGCTTGGTGTAGCAAGAAAAATGAATTACTACAAATTTATCTAGTAAAGAAAGCAAAGATGGCATAATACTGATGGTATAAACAAATGATTTGAAGGCATATCTAAAGTTTGATAGTTATGCACTCATTCTAATACGGAACAGAAAAAGTACAATTAGCAAAAAATCTAGCCCGGATCTCAAAGTGCTGTTAAAAGTGAACTAAAAAGTGAGTGCATTCAAAGCAAACTTTTCAGTTGAAGTATAGCTGGCACATAGACAAGGCAAAAGTGGTAAAAGGGGTACACGAATGACTATATCTGGAAAACACCAGCACAAAATCTATGCTATTACTAGAGAACCTGACCACAGTGCTCTGAGAATGTTAGCCAGCCTCAACAATTTTTCAGAGTACGTACCATCTACACACTGCATGGAATTCAGTAAAGGAAATAATGACAAGGGGACAAAAAGATTAACGAATTAGAAAAAGCTAAAAAAAAATGAGAGGATATTGGCAATGTGCTTTGAAGACTAAGAACTTTTACAGGCAGAGTATGCGATGAGAAAGCTTTTTAGGATGACAAACGTGAGCCAAGAAGGAAAAGAATTAAATTTTATTGCATACCTACTAACACACTGAATCCACAGAAAACTTTACAGTGTAGGTATTATCCCATTTTACAGATGAAGAAACAAACTGAGAGACTAAATTCGCTAAATTTTCCCAACATTGTAATTAGTAAGATTCAAACCCAGGTCTGACTTGAAAATCCACTCTAATGGATTTTTTTTTCTAGTTTTTTTCTTTTTGACTTGAATAACAGTATTATAGAATATCTCCCCCTTTTCTTTTGTGTAGTCCATAATTTAAGTCTGTCTGTTAAAAAAGAGTTCCACTTATGTAGTACAATTAACCACTCTGCTACTTGGGGTGTAAATAAAATGCCAAACCACAGAGACAAAGCCATGGAGATATACGGCATATATTGATCATTTCCTTATGTTTCTGAATGTAAGTAAGTCCACCACCTAAAACTCACAAAAGTGACTATAAATAATGAAGTTTATACATGAAGTATTTACTTAACACTTCAAACTTGCCTTTAAGGATTAACTCAAAGAAAGGTTAATATGAATGAAAACCAAAAATACATGATTATTTGTGAAAAAGAATGACGGACAGAGAAAATATTACTTGCACTAGTTTTCCTACAGCTGCAATAACAAATTACCAAAAAACTGGGTGGCTTAAAAGAGCACAGACTTGTGATTGTCTCACAATTCTGGAGACTAGAACTCCGAACTCAAGGTGTCCTCAGGGCCATGCTCTTTAAAAAAAAAAGAAAAGAAAAAAAAAAAAAGAAAATCTACTCTAAGTGCTATGTCTATGCTAGCAGTAGCAAATACAGAAACGTATTTTGGCAGCAGGTAAATAAAATAACACAGTAAATGAAGCTAGAATAACAGAATGGAGCTAGATTCTAAGTCTGAAATGGTGTATTAGAAAGTTTGAACTGTATTCTGCAACTAACAGAGGACACAATCAGCCTGTAGTATAAGAAGGGAGAAGACTTCAAAGCCTGGAAGACTATTGGAAGAGCTACCTCAGTAATAAAGGAATATACTAGGATCAATGACAAACTGGATTAAAGCATAGATTTTAGACAATATGGACTAATTTAATTACTCTATAAAATAGAAAAAGAAAAATTTTTATGACCACTAAAGAGATTATGAGACCAGGTGCAGCAGCTCATGCCTGTAATCCCAGCATTTTGGGAGGCTGAGACAGGCAGATCACTTGAGGTTAGGAGTTCAAAACCAGCCTGGCCATCATGATGAAACCTCATCTCTACTAACAGCATAAAAATAAGCCAGGTGTCGTGGCGGGAGCCTGTATTTCCAGCTACCTGGCGGGCTGAGGCAGGAGAATCGCCTGAACCTGGGAGGTGGAGGTTGCAGTGAGCCAAGATTACGCCCCTGCACTCCAGCCTGGGTGACGGAGCAAGACTCCATCACCCCAAAAAAATAAGAACTTACTTGATTATGAAGTGTCCATGCCCCAGTCTGAGGCCTACTTCTCTACTTTGCACTCAACCCCAACCCCTTACTGCACTGAAAACTACTCTACCAATCAGCCCCCTTTCTTAACATCAACGAATCTTCTGTCTGTGCAAGCCTTCCCATGCCTGTGCAAGCTGTTATTTCCCTCACCTTTCAAAAAAGCCTTCCTCTATCTCACACCCTACCAACTGCCACCACACCTATCCATGTTCCCTTTACCACATGCTTCCAGAGGAATCACAACTGGCCATCCTGTTCCACTCCTATTCTCTCTTGAACACACCCCAATCCACCACACCACCAAAAAAAATGCTTGTCAGCATCAGCCCTGATCTCCCTATTGCCAAGTCCTAGCATATTATGATCAAATTCCAGTCCTTTTCCTGTGACCTAACATTCAGCTGATTATTCCTTCCTTGGGGAAATACTTTCTTCACATGGTTTCTAAGACACAGCTGTATGGTTCTCTTCAACTCTACCAGCTGCTGCTTTTCCTTCTCCTTGGCCAGTTCCTCCTTATCTCCTAGACCTCCACAGTGGAAGCCTCCAGGGCTTGATCTTTGACTTCTTCCATCAACTCGCCCTCTCTGGGTGATTGCCTTCAATTTCAAAGCTTAAAATATCATATAAAATGTACACCTCCATCTTGGGCCTCTCCCCAAACCTCAGATATTCAACTGCCTATACGACACTTCCACTTAGATATCTAACCAGCACCTACATTTGAATCTTGATTCCAATTCATTTCCATCCCCTCAAGAAAAGCGTGCCCTTCAGCATTCTCCACCAGCGAAAATGACAACTCAAACATCTAGCTGCTTAGGCCAAAAAACCTTAGTCATCTCTGAGATCCCTCTCACACCCCATCATGTGCAATCCCTATGCAAATCCCTAATTATACATTAACAATACGCCCAGGACTTTGCCACATCCCCCACCCTAACCTCCACCCTGCTATCACCTCAGTCAAGCCACCACCACTTCCTGTCTGGACACCCACTGCAATAGCCTTTTGTCTTCAGGCCTCCTCTCTGCCTCCCTTAGTCTATTCTGAAAGTCACCCCTATGACATTAATCAAAGGTCCTCGCACCTTAGCTCAAATCCTCCCTCCACTGGTTCCCCATCTCATTCAGAGTAAAAGGCCAATCAGGGCCCATATAATCTCTGACCTCGTCTCCTCTACTCTTCTCCCTCGCTCACTCCATTCCAGTCATCCTAACCTTCCTGCTGTTCTTAAACACGCTAAACTATTTCCCTCCAGTACCTCCACCCTAGCTCTGACCTCTGCTCAGCCCCTGATGCTCCAGCTATTCACACATCTTGCACCCTCACTTCTTTCAGGTCTTTGTGCAAATGTTCACTCAACTGTCAGGCCTTGGCTCATCAACTTACAGATTTGAACAGGGCACTCCCAACTTCCTTTCCCTGCTTTCTCTGTTCTATAGTAGTGACCACCACCTGGCATGCTATTTAACTCACTTGTTATCTCTTTTTCTCCCCACTTTAGAATGTAAACTCTGTGAGGGCAGAGACTTTGACCATGTGGTTTGCCACTGCATTCCCAGCTAGAAAAGTGCTGGCACAAGACTCTCAATAAACCTGAGTGAATGAATAAAATTTTTAAACTATGTCAATAAATAGCAAATTCAGCACTATCATATAATCACCCTCCTTTCAGATCATGCCCCAGCATTTTCTTCTCTTTGACATTTCCAACAATTCTCTCTTCTTGATTTCCGTAAACATGTTCAAAACTCTCTCATTTTAGGATGAAGGAGGCTGCCCTAATCTTTCATTTGCATGTCCTGCCATCACCTTCTTTTTCAGAGTACGTATCATTTAAATATTGCATGGAATTACTAAAGGAAATAATGACAGGAGGAAAAAAGATAAATAAATCAGGAAAGCTAAAAAAATGAGAGGTTATTAGCAATGTGCCTTGAAGACTGAGAAGAACTTTTACAGGCAGAGTATGGGATGAGAATTTTTCTTTCCATTTTTGTTTTCTCTTCCCTTCATGGCCAAGCATCTTAGGAGAATACTCCACAATCAGTACTTTCACAACTCATCTGACATCCTCTTCCTTTATCTGCTTCTCATATGTTAGGGTTACCCAGGATTCTGACCTCAGACTTTGCATCATACAATTTGCTTCTTACACACTAGGGATCTCAAACTCAAATATCTTCAGGAACAAATATTGTTAGAAAACAAGACTTTAAGGACTGAGGGCAGCTGGAAATTATGGGCTCTACATTAAAGCCAGTTAAATTCAACACAAACACTATTGTCAAACAAAACACATCTGCTAGTACAGTCCATTCCCGAGGACAAAACATGTCTATGTTCCAAACACACACTGAAATAGTCTATATCTGCCTGTCTCCACTATTACCACCTTACCCTACTGAAAAGCCTCCTGACCCCCTCCATGTTTTTATTCTAGCTGTCCTACAATTAGTTATCCACGAAGCAAGCAAAAAGACCATTAACTATGAATCAGGTGCTGTGCCTCTTCTGAAAACTCTCTGAGGCCTGTCACTCTCTCCCATGTTCTCAGGCTTATTCATACATACTGGATTTTCTGTTCCTATATAATACCCCCAAAGCCCACCCATACCACAGGATCTAGAATATTCTTCTCCCAGATATTTGCATAGTTAGCTCCTTCCTTTTTGACATTCACTTCTATTTATATGTTGCCTTCTAAGAGAGTTTATCTCTACTATTAAGTCAAGCAGTACCACAGTCTATCACATCCATTTAAATTTCTTCAGCATTTATCACTCTTTATTCTTGTATTAATCTGTTTTCTTCCAGTGAAATAATTTCTCCCTAAGAGCAGGGACCTTGCCTATCTGCCCATCACCATTTCCTAACACTAAGAACAATGCCTAGCACACAGTAGGTACTCAGTAAGTATCTGTGAAACAAATGACTGACAACATTCTCAGTCAGTGGGTAACCTCAACTTTAACCCCTATATATTTAGAAGAGCAGCTTCTCCGGGAAATGTCTGTCTTGTTCATCCATATATTCCCAATACCTGACAGAGAAATGGAACTACAAGATGAAAATATGATTTGTAAGAAAGAATCTATAACCCCCCGTTTGCTGATACTCAGTGTCTATTATCAAGTAATATCTAAGTATTTCACATACATTTTTCTAATCCCCATGTAAATCTGTAAGGTAGCCATTATCTCTATTATTGAGGAAACTAAGGCTGAGAGAAGAGACGCTTCCAGTCCACATAGCACAAGTGAGGCCAGAGGATTCCCACCCAAGCAAGTCTGGCCCCAGGGTATTCCTTCCTCTGCACTAATTTCACCTCCTGGTGGTGCATGCCTGAAGTCCCAGCTACTCTGGAGGCCAAGGTGGAAAGATCCCTTGAGACCAAAAGTTTGAGGCTGCAGTGAGCTATGACCACATATGTGAACAGCCATTGTAATCCAGCCTGGGCAACAAAATAAGACCCTGTCTTAAATAAGTATACAGGAGCATATGCATCAGTTATATGCAAATACTAGGCCAATTTCTGTAAGGAACTTGAGCAACCAGAGAATTTCAGTATCCTAGGGCAGGGACAGGTCCTGGAACCAATCACATCGATAACTTGCGAAAACAATCATACTTCCAGATGCCTCTCTGACATCTACCTTATCCCGCAATGTAATACAAAATACAAAACCAAACTTCTTACCTTTCCTCCATTCATTCCTTCTGTTATCTTTAGTCTTCACCCAAGTCCATTCCTATTAACTGGCAATATAATCCAGACACCTAGGACCATTCTGATCCCTCCTGCTCTCTCACCAAATTCTAATGCTTCTAACTTCAAATACACTCTGGAGCTGAGACCCAGTTCTCTATTCCTAATGCAGGCTACCCCAACGCTTTTTATTCTGAACTATCACACAAATCTCCCAACTAGCCTCCCAAGTCTAGCCTTGTAATTACTAAATTATTCATTCATATACAGACATGTAAACGATTAATATTTATACAAAACTCTTCTGTTATTCCTATTTAGAAGGGGCCTAATCTAAAGAAAACTTAGAAATTATGCAAAGAGGCCGGGCATGGTGGCTCAAGCCTGTAATCTCAGCACTTTGGGAGGCCGAGGCAGGTGGATCAAAAGGTGAGTAGTTCAAGACAAGACTGGCCAACATGGTGAAATCCCGTCTCCACTAAAAAAAAACAAAAAAAATTAGCTGGGCATGGTGGCTTGTGCCTGTAACCTCAGCTACTTGGAAGGCTGAGGTAGGAGAATTGCTTGAACCAATACCCGGAGGTGGAGGTCGCAGTGAGCCAAGATCGCACCACTGCACTCCAGCCTGGTCTACAGAGCAAGACTCCATCTCAAAAAATTATGCAAAAATCATTCATGCAACAATCATTATCAACATAACCCATGAAGAACACTCTACTTGGCACCAAGAATGGAAAAATAAATAAGGCAGCTCCCCTCAGGGAGCTAACAATCCTTGTCAACTACGGTAGTGTTAAGTACTTCAACAGAGCTCTGCTAAGGGTGCAAAGATAACAAAACCCATGGGAAGATTCCTCAAGATGTAACTTAATACCTAGTCTCTTTTCCAGAAAGGATTACACTTGTAAACCATTCATGAACATAACATTCCTAAAGGAAATTTCCTTTAATTTCTCACATTATTGCGTTACTCACCCCTCCTCATCATCTCAAGTAAAGACAGTATGTTATCTTTTCTGCTACCATATTTGAACTGAGTAGCTATATTTGCAATTTCTCTTGTTATTTCTTTAAAGTAGTGACCTCAAATTTCACATCTGGCTTCACTAATTACATTCCTAGGTATATAAAAGATTATTAACCATAGCCATTAATCGTATGTCTATGTATACAGTTAAACACATTTAAAAGCATATGCTGTGGAACCCAAAGCCGAGTCAAACTTCCCTAAAACTCATCATTTACTCTTGGCACTTTAAGATATACTTTAAAATTAGGTAGGCATTTGGTACATTATTGTTCAAGGCTTACCGTAAATTTTGCCCAGAAAACTGAAATTTGGAGAAAAAGTTGATTTTGGAGCAGTATAAACGCCAATCGAATGACCTTAAATTAATAACAGCAAATGGAAATACTGTCATATAAACAGCTGTTCTCCAAACGACTGCCTTAAAAAGGTCCTCATGTTTTACTAAACAAACTCTGAAATTAAGAGCAAAGTAAAAGTAGAGTGTATTAACATTCGTCTCATTTCAGTTCATAATGAAATCACAGGACAGGAATGTAGGTAAACTATTAGGAATAAATGAACACAGCCTAGCTGAAACCAAATCAAGTGAGTAAACGGAAGACAAGGGCATTAACCATTAAGTTAACAAGGTTACTTCCTGGCTCAGAATTTTAAACAAAAAGGAGAAATAGAACCGCCCATCACAATGCACATAAAGCAACCACCACTGGTTACTCCACAAGCACTTTGCAAGAAACTCTAGAGAGAAGAACAGAGACGGCCTGTCCCTCAAGAGCTGCAAGTCCCCCGTCAGGAGGGGAGGAAAGAAGAATGTAATCCCCCCTAAGAGTCTACCTCATCACGCCTGGCCAGAGCCCAATGACACAGAGGCATGCAATTAATCCCACGGCTGAGCTCAGCTCGGAAGCCCGGCCAGGCGCGAAGGCGCGCGCAGAGAGCGGCAGTCACTCCTCTCGCGCCCTGCGGGCCTCGCAGCCCCACAACCCTCGGCCCGGAGCCTGCGCCTCCGCCCGGCCCAACCGTCAATGACCCGCCAGCCTGACAGCCGAAACGTACGCTAAAGGTGGATGAGTCTGCCTCCCGCCTGTGCGCAGGCCTAGACACCGGGGAAACGCCTCACCAAGCCCGCGTCCCGGGCGGCAGGGGGAAGCGGGAAGCGGGAAGCGGGAAGGTCCAAAGAGGGAAGGGGTGTGGGGCACTCCAAGTGCGCGTGCGCCTGCGGGTGCCCCCCGCCCCCACACCGGCTGCAGATCGGAACTACAGTACAGCACCAGCCTCTGGTTTACGACTGTTCGCGGCACCCGGCAAGGGAAGGGGACTGGGACCGACTTTTGATTGGACAGTACGAAGAGATGGGGCGGGAAGAAGCCTGGTGATTGGGGAGGGCAGCGCGTTCCTGGATTTGAAGCGAGGAAGCCGCGCGCCCGGCAAGTCGGAGGAGGAAATGAAGTTCTGCGCTGGCGGAGACCTGAGGGACTTCTTCCGTTGGCGCCGCCTTTAATGTCTTGTCGAATTTGAAAATAATGCTTATTCTGTTTGGGGCTCCAGGGCATCGCCAGTCACTCTATGAATAATAAGTATTCCCTGCCAACAAATCCCCCCATAGGTTTCGTCCTTCCGTGCGCAGAAGCCGATCTTTCGTGTTGGTAGGCGCTGAAATGCCTCAGGTTTCACCCTCAATAAATAATTCCTCGGGATCCAAGTTTCGTGACAGTGCGCTACATCTAATCGTCTCTTGGCGACAGAGTAGGGTTTGTCTCAACTGGGAAGAAAGCGAGATTGAGACGTAATTCGTCCCTAAGTAGCTTTCTACTTTTCTCCATCCTTAGGCCACAAATCCCATCACCGCCATCTGCTCGGCACAAGCCCGTAACTACTATAGTACTTCATTGAGACCATACCTTTCACTTAAAATGTACCTCAGTCTTTTTCAGACTTTATTCCATATAGTCACAGAGGGGGAAAAGTCCCTCTTTTCCAAAGCTTGCTCCTTAACTTTATTCAGGTTACTGAAAGATGCCCGGCGCACTTTAGTGGGGAGAATGGGGAAAACAAAGGAACAGTCCCTAGTCCCGAGGTTAGCCTGGTGGGGAAATAGATGTTTATTTGACCAATTTCTTCCTCCTGCAAACGTGGCTCAGCTGTCATTCTTGGATATCCTCTCCACTGGTTTCCTTCTCTCTGCCTGCAAAAATGCAGCCCCTCTCTATCCAAACACACACACAGGCACACTGAGACACTGAGGAAGGAGACGCCCCCCTTCTGCATGCAAAAATTCACCTCTTTATTCAAACACGCACACACGCACTGAGGAAGGAGATCTCCTCCTCCTCTCTGCCTACAAAAATGCAGCACCTCTCAACACACACACACCCGCGCGCGCGGAGACCCCCCTCCTCCCGAGTTTCTAAGGCCATTTCCCTTTTAGCCTTCTACATTGCATCTCAAAAGGAGAAGTCAGCCAGAGGAGGGACCGGTTGGCGCCAGTCAGGTCTAAATCACGGATTTGATATGGAGGGATTTTCCCCGCAAGGTACTGTTGTTGCTTAATCACGATTAGACACCCCCCCCCCACCTAAGTCACGTCCCCCACGCTCTCGACCCTCTCACATGTGCACCTCTTAGACTGTAAGCTTTTAAAAGGGCCAGGGTTTTCTTTGTCGGGGAGCTCAGTTGAGGCATCCAAGCCTGCTGCAGCTCCTGGCTGAATAAAATTATCACTTCCCTGTTCAGTGTTCCAGATTTGTTTGTGGCCCTCCTGCTTCAACACCACACAGCCCACACACACATACAACCACACACCCACATACATACCAAACCCATACACACACACCCATACAACCCACATGCACACACATCACTCACACACAAATACACCCATACACCACACATGCCCCTTCCTTGATTCTGCTTCATTACTAATAACCATTCTTGTCTTTTTACCTTAATGGTCTCCACTTTATTTTTCCATAGGGAAGCCTGGCTTCCACTTTTTACACCTTATTTTGACTCATTTCATGGTGTGTCTATCTTGGTCCTGAACATGTTAAGTTCATCAGGAATGGACTCCTACTTGTCAAACTCAAGTCATGTCTCCAGTTCTTGATACCCCTTCTTGGAACGCTGCAGCGTTGGTATTTGCAAAGAGTAAACTACCTTTATTCTACCTTTGTCCACACTCAATGAGCAAAGATAAATGGAGAAAATCTCAAGATTTTCTGAATCCCAAAAAAGTAAACCAAATACTTAGCCATAGAGCTGAAAGGGTATACTGTAATGTAATGAGCCACCCTTCTTAAAAGTATCTTAACCTCTCTTTCTACAAAGTGGTCACATATTGGAGGTGAACTGCTTAAATGTGTCTACATGTTCCAGACTGTCACTCACACCAAGTACTTGTTAATAAATGTCCTTCCTCCACAAATATCCTCAAGTCATCAGAGCACTCCCTGTAACACTCAGCAACCTGACAGGACTCTGTTAACAGAGATCTCTGATTCGGAGTCTCAGCAGTAGGAGAGCCTGGACTCTTCAAGCTGCCTGGATCTGAATCCTCGCTCTTAGCTCCCTCTTCCAAACTGTGTAGCCTTGGGCAAGTAGCTTTAACTGGCCGGTTTCCTTGTCTGTAAAATGGGGACAATTAAAGCGCTTGCTTTAGAGGCTTACTGTGAGGATTTAAAGCTATTCCTGTAAGGTATCTAGAGAAGTACTGGTCCATGGGAATACTCAGCAAACATTAGCTATTATACTTAAATATCTCACCTCACTTGCCAACTGGAAAGGAGGAACAGAACTCCCACTGTGATTTCCAAATCTCTTTAGACACTGAGTAGAGCCTGCAGAGGCCCATGCAGGATGCCTCCCAGGGAATAAGAAGTAAGGCCTATCTAGTTTTAAGTTCAGACATCTCTCAGTTCCCCTTTTACCAACTGTTTAAAGTGGTATGCCTCAGCTGCCAATACTTAAAACCTTCTACAATGTAACCACAAGGTATGATTTCAGATTAATGTCCCACTAGCTCCCTAAATGTAACCTACTCTTTCATCAGACTGTTACTTATATTCTGTTCCCTAAACACACCTGGCCTTTTTTGTAACCTATTGAAATCAGGCACCCCTTCCAAATTCTGCCAGCTTAAATAACTTGTCTCTTTTATGCCTACTATACAGTTTCTACCATTATTACAAAGCTGAACCCATTACCTTTTGTAAATTCTAGAAATGCCTTCTCCAACAAGTGCAAGTCTGTGTGCAGACTATCTTTTTTTTTTTTTTTTAACATACCCAAGTGTTTAGCACAGTATCTTGCACATCCTAGATGCTCAAGATTCACTAAATTGGAGAATGGTCTAAATTTCATTATTCCATTCTAACCCCAGATACCTCTATGATTGAAAGCTCAAAGACACGGCTTCTTAATTAAGACCTTGTTTGATCCTTGCCTTGTTTAAGAAAAGAAAGACCTTTGAGAATTATTTTAAAAAGTCATTCACATTGAAATGCTAACCTTAGAGACAAAACATTTTGATGACTAGACAATAAAACTCAAATGTTCCTTAAACTAAAATGAGTAGGCTAGGTGAGGTGGCTCACGCCTGTAATCCCAGCACTTTGGGAGGCGGAGAAGGGGGATGATGGAGTAAGCCTAGAGTTTGAGACTAGCCTGGGGAAAAAGTGAGACCCCTTGCTACAAAAAATAAAAATATTAGTCAGGGCATGGTGGTGTGCACCTGTAGTCCCAGCTACTCAGGAGACTGAGGTGAAAGGAGCACTTGAGCCTGGGAGTTCAAGGCTGCAGTGAGTCATGATCATGCCACTACACTCCAACCTCAGCTACAGAGTGAGACCCTGTCTTATAAAATGAATAGAATATTTCTATCATCTCTTAATCCTTTGCATATTAAGAAGTTCTAGGGATATGACACTATTCAAGGAAAGGCGTCTTTGAAAATTAGAATACTTGGCCAGGCGCAGTGGCTCAAGCCTGTAATCCCAGCACTTTGGGAGGCCGAGGCGGGTGGATCACGAGGTCCAGAGATCGAGACCATCCTGGTCAAAATGGTGAAACCCCATCTCTACTAAAGATACAAAAAATTAGCTGGGCATGGTGGCGCGTGCCTATAATCCCAGCTACTCAGGAGGCTGAGGCAGGAGAATTGCCTGAACCCAGGAGGCGGATGTTGCGGTGAGCCAAGATTGCGCCATTGCACTCCAGCCTGGGTAACAAGAGCGAAACTCCATCTCAAAGAAAAAGAAAATTAGAATACATACAACAATTGTGTTACCTTTGTGATTACCTGATAAGACACATGAAATACTGTTCAAAACACCTGTCTCTCTCTAGCCCTGATAGGTTAAACCCTTGATAATTCCTCAGAAAACTGAACCAAAATGCCTATTACTAGTTTTAACCATTTTGCCCCAATTACTGTCAAGTATATTCTAATTTTAAAATATTTTAGAAAAAAATCTTTTCTAACGTTGACTAGATTGAAAGTCAACATCTGTCCATTCTATATGTTAGTCTACCTACTTTCTACCTTTTAAATAAATGTAATATTTGCTCACATCTCCTAATTTTTATTTGTTTGGGTTTTTTGTGAGATTATGAAAGAAGAGTAAGCCTTAGCAACTATCTTAAATAAAATATATCCTATTTTTATAAGGCAAGAGATTCATGTATTTAAAAATATATTTTATTATATAACCTACCCGGATAATTACAAAAGCTTTAAACAGTAATTCTAAGCAGTGAAAGGCAATTTCCTTTAAAAAAAAAAAAAAAAAAGACCAAAAAGTCCACATTAGGTTTTGCAGCTTTATACACAGGAATGCTTTATTTTATTTTACATACTTGTCAGTTGCAACATTAGCCTATAAAATTAAATCCATTTCTTAAGGTCTCAAAGGCAGAATAAACTTCACAATAATATGCTTTCACATTAGCCAGTCTGATAAAGCATAAGCAACTTAAGACTATGGTAACAGTTCAAAATAAAATTACAGAACAGGCACTTTGAAGTCTGCTTCTGTGTATAATTTCACAGATAACATTATTTGGACATACCTCATTTCATCAAAGGTTATCACCCAGAGAAGCAAATGTTCCGTTGCTGCAGACGCACAAACAGATTTAGGTTCTGAACACTGTATTCTGGTAGTAATACATGCAAGACAGACCCTAAGTTAGAAAAATCTTCTGAAAGAAAATGAAGAAAAATAGCAGCCAGAAATGAAAGCATTTACAAGCACTTGAATAAGGCCTTTCAATGTTAAG